GCAATATTTCATTTGTTTAACTCTCTTTAAACAGCAAGTTTATATAGAACAAGTTCAATATGGTTTCAAATAAAGTACCACTTCCGGTTGACGCATATGATCCAAACTTGATATAAATCTTAGATTTTGTTACTAACAGCTACATACGAAATTTCATTACCGTAGCGTGCTGGGTTTTTGAGGTATGAATTTTGTCCTCCTAAATTCATGAAATTGACCACTGTGCGTGGGTGGCAGAACACTTAGAGCAAGGATGGACGAATTCGACAATCGCCATTTGCTAGTTTTTGGGGCAGACGTTTAGCCGTCTAATTCACCCCACCTCATCCTAATGGATTACTGCGTTTGGTCCATTTTAAACCAATAAGTCTCAGAAACGCGACACGTCATCACCTTAGAAGCACTCAAAACAGCTCTGATACGCGCTTGGAACGAGATTATAGTATTGAAAGAGTAGATTATAAATGGATACAGTTTTCATCTTCTAATGGCGGGATTAATGAAGCGGAGATCCTTTGGCAACTATCAAACAGTTAAAAAATGTGAATTCAGGTCATACACAAAATCTTTGTCTAAATCGGACATCGGACACCAACTCATTAAGTGAGTTAAGACTGTGTTAAGACACTGTTACATTGCACTAACCGTAATCAACACTTCAACAGAAATTTGAGTAAATACCGAGTAAATCAAATAGTGTAATATCATAATACCTCAGCAGGTGCTAAATTGTTAGGTTGGTATTGTATTTAGTGACTTAAGGCCTGGCTGCAGTTATTTATCGAAAGGAAAAATTTATTTATTGATATCACGGGAAGAAAACAAACAAATAAGTATCTTAAAATGTTTGATTATAACAAAAATACGGACAAATCGGTCTGTAAATTTTGCAAAACAGAAATTAAGGGACGTATCTAATCTAGAGAGGTTAGCTACAAGTTCGGGCAAATCAGCCTGAGGCAAAAGAGCGGCAAGCCTACGCCACAGAAGGTAGAACCCGAACCAACACCAGGAACTTCCGGAACCGCCAAGGACCCCAAGAAGGGTACAGGTAAGGTTACCTCCGAAAAAAAGGGTAAAGGCAAAACTGCTGCTCCCAAAATTGCACCCGCCAAACAATAATGGTGGGAGTAGGCTTCATCCAGGCCAACATCCAGCACTGTAAAAGCGCCCCCGACGTGCTGGTCAAGGGCTTCCACAGCCCCAACATACATGTTGCGTTGATCCAAGAGCTATATGTATAGGGAGGAATAGTCAGAAGACTATCAACAAAGGTAGGTAAGTTAATTTATCACAGAGGAGGTTTAACCCAGTTTATCTCTAGGGACCTGGTTGCAATGTCAGCGGTACTGCCGACGCTGGGAGGTAAGCAAGAGGCAATTATAGCCTCAGCATACTTCCCTAGTGAATCAGACGATCCACCGCCACAAGAGGTGAAAGACCTCATTGACTACTGCAATAAGAAGGGAAACAACTCCACCTGGGCTGCGATGCGAACGCACATCATCTCGTATGGAACAGCTCAGACACAAACAAAAGGGGTGAGTACTTTTACTAATACTTACAAAGTACAAATTTAGATATCCTCAACAGAGCTAGACATAAGCCTAGCCACGACTCGCCGCAGTTCGCAAATCGCAAACTGGCATGTTTCACGTGAAATCACTTTAGCGGATCCCAAGCATATTCGCTTTGTCATTGTAGCAGACATGACAAAACAAACAGAATTCAGAATCCCCTCACTCACTGATTGGTGCTCTTTTTGTAGACGCATCAGCGAAGAGGTCGATGAAATCAAAACAAACGTTGAAAGCACAGAGGATCTCGAAATAGCCTCTTTTCAACTAAACAATCTCATACATAGTGCATATGAATCAAGTTGTCCAAAAAAACACAAAAGAGCACAATCCAATGTGCCTTGGTGGAATAAGGCCCTTGAAAAACAGCGAGTCATGGTTAGAAGACTATATAATAAAGTCAGGAATTCCAAACTCGAGCAAACATGGGACCTCTATAGGAAAGCCCTAATAGAATATAACTTAGCTATCTATTCTGAGAAGGCATAGACAATACGCCTACAGTTGCTCGTCTGCATAAGATTTTGGCAAAAGATCACAACACTGATCTAGGTGACCTATGCAAACAAGATGGTAAATACACTGAGGATGCTAAGGAATCGTTAGAGCTCCTACTGAGTACACACTTTCCTTCCTCAAAAGTCTGCCCCCACGCAGATGCTGACCCTGAAGTAAAGGACATAACCCGTCCATTAGGTAGGGTTCGCAGCATAGCTGGGAAAATTTTCACACCCAACAGCGTAAGGTGGACTATTTCTAATTTCAAGCCCCTAAAATCGCCTGGAGGAGATAGAATTCTGCCTATTTTTCTGCAAAAAGACTTAGAAGACCTTCTCCCAGTAATAATATCCCTATATATAGCTAGCTATAGCTTTAGCTATATACCCACTCCGTGGAGGAAAGTAAAGGTGGTCTTCATACCTAAATGTGGTTCAAACGCCGATCCCAAAACATACAGACCAATTAGCCTAACATCATTTCTCCGCAAAGGGATGGAAAATGTAGTTAATCATTACCTTAGGAATGAAGTGCTTGTCACTAATCTACTCTTTCCGAATCAACATACTTACCAGAAAGTGAAATCAACAATTACTGCTCTCCATGCTTTGACTAGTACTTTAGAGGCAATTGCAACCAAAGAGATAGCCCTCTGTGCTTTCATAGACATAGAGGGTGCGTTTGATAACACCTCATATGAATCCATAGAGAAGGCTCTAAACGTAAAAGATATACATCCGTGGACAATCAAGTGCTGTATAGCTATGTTGAAAAGTCGGCAGATCACAGAATAGTATTCCTGATATTTAGAATTTAAAGAAAAATGTATAATAAAATATGCCAATATGGTCTTAATATTATATTCTGTCTATTTTTATCAGCAGGCAAAATCAGCAAAAACGTCATTTTTACAACGGTTTTATAAAGATCCTGCATTGGGCACATTTTGGAAGCACAATTGAATATCTCAGGAACTATGAACGCTGTGAAATAGTAATATATACGATTGCATAAACGAATTTAGTTAGTATTCAGAATAGTGTTCATAATATGATAAAATATACAGAATGTTCCTTTTAAAAACGTTTCGTACTCTCTATTACGCTTAAATAGAACATACTAAACAGGGGGTGATTCAAAAAACCGCAGACAGACTTCTAGAGTAGATAATACAAGAAAAATTAAGATGAATAGTTTTAATATATATCGGGTTGCAAAATGCCAAAGTTTCTTTAAAATTAAACATTATCTGCAATAAAAAACCCTTTTTTAAAAATATAGTCTACGCCATTGCTAATTTTGTCAAACGGACAGTTTTTTTGTGTGAAGTGATCGATTATCTATCAATTGGTTTCTTACAAAACTTTGGTCAAAGCAATAGTTTTTAAGAAAAATACGTTAAAAATTAGCAGTGGCGTTGAAAATATTTTTAAAAAAGGGCTTTTTATTGCAGATGTTTAATTTTAAAGAAACTTTGACTCGCTATATCTCGTTAAGGAAGCATTTGCGACTCCATGTATATTAAGACTTTTCATCTTAATTTTTGATGTATTACCTGCCCTAGAAGTCGATCAGCGGTTTTTTGAATCACCTGTATAAGCCATTGATAGTTTGCGTGTTAATTTTGGTACGTTTGTTCACAGTTTTTTGCCTGTAGAAGAAACGTAGTACTGTAGAAGATCGCTACACCCAATAACCTTATCATAGTTGTCAATTTTTTGCGATCAAAAAACTCCATCTAACGTATTCCATAATTCAACTAGCACACAATATACAGGCTGTTCCATTCAAAAAACTTAAGAAAAAGCCATTTGAAAAACATCAAAAGTAATTGAGCTTTTTAAACACCTTGTATAGTGTTTCTAATATCTTTGAATACTATCATCTACCTACTGGCTTTGACTAATGTCTGTCGTAATTTCAAGGCAAAATCGGAAAAAATGTCGTTTTTACATCGTTTTCAAAAAGATCTGTAATAGGAACATTTTGGAAGAACAATTGAATATCTCAGGAACTATGAACGCTGTGAAATAGTAACATATGGTTGTATAAACAAATTTAGTTGTATTCATAATATGATCAAATATAAAGGTGTTCCATTTAAATAAATTTACGTACTCTCCATTATGCTTAAATGGAACATCCTGTATAAGTCAAAACAACTTTTGTATAAAATATTTTTGTTTTTCAAATGGTTTAGTAACTAATAACTCACCCTGTAGATACAGGCTAATTTATTAGCTCACCATCAAAGTTTGACATATGATAGCTAATCCAATAACCAAAACTTTAAAGTGTTATAATTTCGTAAATAATTTAAATAGGACATATATTCATTAACTTTTTTTTTGGTAATTGGATTAGCTTGTAACGCAACTGTAAAATTGATCTAGACTTGTGCTTTTAAATCTCGTTATGCTCCACATGAAAATGAATTGTAGAAGCAATGCAATACTTGATAACAAGAGATATCTCCAGTTCTAGCTGAATATAAGCACATTGACCACATTTTTGTACATAAGCCCACAACTGATTCATTAATATTGAAACGCAGCTCTTTTTGAGAAAGGCGAACAACTACGAAATGAGTTCATAAAACCCCAAGTACTGAGCGAAAATGTGAGACATTCTGTCCAAGCCAACGTAAGATGAGGAGATACTAGAAACACAATATCAACACAATTCCAGATTCTTTTAGGTTTTTTGTTTTATTTATCTTTTTACTTGTAGTTTTAGAACCTTACAGAAAAAGAAAATAAGTACTTTTTTGAAAGATCTGTTCGAATTGCCAAACCCTCAAAAATGGTAAATCAGTTAATAATAAGTCATATATCATACAAGATTAATATGACATTATTAATGTATAGGTTAGTGCAAAAATTGGATTATTAATTAATTAATAATGACTCAAATTAATTTGATTACCTGTGAGTAATAACTCCATTCATTGGCGTAGAGATGGTTGGTATCATTTCGAGTTCAACGAGCAACGGAAAATGATCGGAAAATATATGAGGATGTGGACAGCCAACAATTTTGTGCTCCCTAAGCCACTCGGCCGAGTGTGGACCCAGTAAACCCAACGGAGTCATACTATTCTTTGAATAAAAGATATAATCAATTATACCTTTAAAATCGTACCTAAAAAATAATTTATAATAAAATAAATCACATCAAACAAAGTGAAAAAAAAAACTTACGTATAATTAGTAAATGGCATAATATCCTCACTATAAGCTGATGCTAATTTAAACGAATGTGTAAATTCGTTTGGTTTGTCACAACTAAGCACCTTTTCCAAACACTGTTTGTAGCTGAAATCTTTAAAGTCTCGATGATCTTGAGATACCCGCCCGGAATTTAAAAATTCGACAACACCCGAATCGGGTAACGAATTAAAATCGCCGCAAAGTACGAGCTGGATATTTTGGGGCTCGACGGTTACGCCCAGGCCGTTCGCCTCTTTCAGCCGGAGCGTCGCCGCCGATTTTTCCAAGATCGTCTTCAGCTCGTTGCTCAACATCATCGTTTGAATTAATTTAACGTCGCAAAATTCCGGGTCCCAATGTATATGAGCCGTACAAACTAAAACTGGTTGTTGAGCTATTATCGAATCAGGTGGTGCTAAAAAAAAACACGAATTTAAAAGAAAATTGGTTTCATAATTAATTCCCTTGATTACCGTTTTCCCAAGCGGCTTCTGTTGTTTGTAATAAAGCCGCTAAACCAATATTATCTTTAGGCATTACCCTATTTAACATATGTTCTAAACCGTCGGCGTTCGCCATCGCTAATTGATTAAACTCAACCAAATGTTCCTTAATAAGTGTAAACTTTGAGGTGCGATAAAACACGGCGCAACCGTCGACGTATTTCCTTTCATTTTCTGCCATGGTTTTAGCACGGGATTTAGGCGAATAAATCCCGGCGTAACCATCTTGCTTCAATTCCGGTAAGAAAAAATTATAAAACTGGTCCATTTCGACTTCTTGTAAATTAATAATATCTGCACTATAATGACGGATCTCTTCCATAATTCCTTTTTTCCTATAATCCCAATTTAAGGCCCAACTTGGACAGTAACTGTACATTTGTCTTGTTGCGTATTTGTCGCATAAAACGTTGTAACACATCACTGTGAATATACCTATAATATAAAACAATTTATAATTTTGAATCCAAACAAAAAAGAGCACTCTTTTATAGTGCTGTTTCTTGTACGCCGTTGGGTTGAAGATAAATCTTAGTTGATAATTCAAGAAAGCGATCTTGAGTACACAACGCGATTTAAACTATTAAATAAATACAACTCAAAATCGTTTGGAGTAAAACCCAGATTAAATCGAACGAAATAAGAAAATAAATTTAATAGAAATATCACGACGACGTTTATAAAATAAAATCATTTTAAAAGCACTTACACGTCGGACGAGTTCTCGTTGGTCGTGTAAGCGGTATCCATGGTCGTTGTGGTGGAGCAGGTGTTGTAACTGCAATAAAGAGAAATAACATTAATCAATACATTAGGAAATAAATAAAGAGCGAGGTGTCATCAAGTTATAAATTTACCAAAACCGCAAACGGAGAGTGGCTGATTGAAAATGTTATGATTCGCTTTGTATTAATACAAAGGGACACTGTTGTGTTCTTTGCGGGTTCATAAACCTATTCATCGTCTACGCCTTAAAAGAAAACGAGAAAAAAAAAGAGTGTAATGCACAACTTGTGCATTGTCATCTACATGGGTCACGCCCTTTTGGGTACGGGGGCCGATTCGAAATGGGGAACACACCTATGGATGATAATCCGTAATCTACATACAATGGGATCGGAGTACGACGACGACGCGTAATTTAATCTTCGTATGATCACTTGACTTCTCTTCCTGAATTAAAATAGGGCGTAATCATAGTGATAAACGATATAGGAAGGAAATGTTGAAATCAATTTCAGCTTTTTTTAACCTTCAAGAGGGCGCGCCCGATTTTATAACACGAGCGGGCGCGTGTCATAAATTTGATGACATCAGGTAACACATTTTGATAGAGTAAAAATATTTAATTTATATTAAACAATTGAAGGGTTCAGGGGAAAAACGTGATAAGTCCAATATTTCATTAATTGATCTAAATGATTGAATCTTGTAGTAAAAATTACGACCTACAAGATGATCAATGAGTTTTAGATGAAAACATGTTTAGTCTTGAGATATTCACAAAATAAGTTTAGATGTACAGGGGAAAAACATGGTAAGTCCATCTAAAACAGTATAAAAAACCGTTAAGTCCAAAAAAAAACATAATTCTTTGTGGTTAATAGTATCCCAAGATATGTTAGCAGACTTTTTTAGTCCATTTAAACGAATAAAAAATATACAATGACAACAATATTTAGGTTGGTATTACTTGTCATTTATTAAATTTTTAGTTGACAGTGACAGTCGGTAAACGTAATTCAAAACGATTTAAATACTTTAATAAAATTGTAATAATTGCAGAAAAAATATAATGTGTATTGTTAATATTATTGTTGCAACAAAACGTATTCTTTTTCGCCTTGACGACGTAATCAACACATTGTTAGTAACAATATAGTAGTTCTGTGGTTTTTGTGTTGTATAATATCTCAAAATGTCTGAAAGTCCATCTGTAGGTTTAAGTGAAGATGATAGCGGTGGATGTAAAGAGTTGAAGACAAAGAAAAGAAAAATATTTGGAAGAATTACTGAGGTCGGTAAGAAATTGCGGTTACAAACCCATGAAACAGGAAGAGCCTGCACATGCAAGAAAAAATGTTTTGAACAACTATTATCTAAAAAAAGTAAAGAAAAAATTATTAATCATTTCAATAAATTAAAGTCAAATGACGAACAAAATTTGCATTTGGCAGGATTAATATCTATATTGCCAATTCGGCGAAGAAGGAACAGAAAACCGAAAGCAGAAGTGTTATTTCGGGAAGCTAGTTACTGTTATAAAGTCCGCGTAGTCATGGTTGAAAATGTGGAAGAAAAAGTTGTCTGTAAGATAGCATTTATGGCTCTGCATGGTATAGGGAGATCAAAAGTCGATTATATACTAGCATCGTTAAAAAATTACGGAACAGCACCAAAGGATAAGAGAGGCAAACACAAAAATCGCCCCAACAAAATTTCTGAAGAGGTGAAGAGTGCTGTTCACGTGCTCATATTAAATCTCTGAAAGGAAGATCTAGTCACTACAGTTTGCACGATTCCACTAAGACATATCTGCCTGAAGAATTAAACATCAAAAAGTTGCTTTTGATGTTTAAAGAAATTCATGGCGAACTGAAGATTTCTTATGAAACATATAGAACAATCTTCAACAATGACTTCAACATAGCGTTTGGTTACCCACGTACCGATACGTGTAGCAACTGTGATGAGTTTGCAGCAAGAAAGTTTACTATCACAAATAAGCAATGAAACGGATAAGGAAAAACATTTAACACTTAAAACTGAAGTCGATCGCATAGCAATAGAAAATAAACTTTATCTTTTAAACGCAGATACCTTTTATAGAAAAAAGCGAAATTCTAGGAAGTCGTGTAAGAAATCTGAAACTAGAGAAGCAATCTGCTTAGATTTTGGTAAAAATTTGCCAGTCCCCAATATACCGACCAATGATGTTTATTATAAACGACAACTTTCTGTATTTGCTTTCAATATCCATATATTGTCAACTGGTGAAAGCGTGTTTTACGTCTACCCAGAAACTGTTGGTAAAAAAGGTAGCGATGATGTTTGCTCCTTACTTCACCACTTTATATATAACATTTTAGACACTAAAGTGAAAGAGCTTGAGATATTTTGTGACTCTTGTGGTGGCCAAAACAAAAATGTGACAATGTTTCGTTTTTTACATCACGTAGTACACGAAGAACGCAAATTGACATCATTGAAAATGACATTTCCCATAAGGGGACACTCATACCTAGAGTGTGATAAGAACATGGCTCTTGTGAATCAAAAGATTAGGGTGGAACATGCCGATGAATAGCTGGAAGTATTTAAAAATGCACGGAGGAAGCCATTTCCCTTTCATGTAATTCCAGTTCAGCAAAATTTCTTTCGAAGCTGGACCGTTTACTAGGACGCTCTTTATAAAAAAAATTATCGTTTAAATCAAGACCCGTCAGAATTATAGATATTAACCAGGAAGATTCTGATGTTATACGGTACAAAACTGCCTATAATGGTCCTTGGTTCAGTGAATCACTGAAAACTTCTAAAAGGAAACGTTCTAAATCATCTCAACAATTACGTCCAAACGAATTTTCATTACCACAGCATTTATACGATCGTATGTTTAAATTCACTATAACTTAGAAATTTCTATTCTTCCTTCCAATCTCGGCCGAAAAATATCAAAAGTTATAGTTCCTCAAAAGGTTTTGTGGCGATAAAGCTGCCGAATATTTTTATTCTTTAACACATAAATAAGAACATTTATTTGTTACAGATTTCGTTAATAAAATTGATTTTGATACTTTAAATAATGTAGTTATATTTTTTGTTTGTTTTATAAGCACCTGTGTTTGTTATTGCATTGATCTATCCTCAAATATTAAATTTTTTTCCATTAACTTTTCTTTGGTAAAGAGCAAAAAGATGATAAGTGTGGGACTTACCGTTTTCTTGCATTGCAATTCTATTTGTTACCCTAGTCTGACTTTATTTACGCGTAGAACGCAAATATTTAAGAATTATTGTGTTCACAGAATCAATAAAATAAATTCGAATATTAATTACCATAGCAAAATCGAAGAATTACTCCCATCGGCCCAGAAAAAATCTGGTAACTTTAAAATAGTTCTCTTATGAAATTACGCATTTGTGACTTATCACGTTTTTCCCCTGGACCCTTCAATTATTAAAAACATAAAATGAAAGCAATGGGAATCAATTAATTTTTGAAATCTAACAACATTTACAAACCGGAAATTTCATATAAGTCGCAATATATGAATACAATAACCATAGTTATGAAAGTACTGTGCACTTGCACTGTCCCACATAAAATGCAACATAGCTTAATAGTACAGGAAATGGGTAGTTTTGCAAAGGAAAGATTTTGCTTGGAAAACCCGAATGTTTCTGGTTCTAGGTCTAGTGTTAGTTCTACTTTTCGTTCAATAAAAATATCTCACAATCAAACGCTGAATAACAATTAAAACTAGGATTAATACTAGACCTAGAAACATTCGGGTTTAGCGGTGCGTCTCTCAAGACGGCTAAACCCGAATGATTCTAGTTCTAGGTATTGTGTTAGTTCTAGTGATAGTGCTAGTGTAAAACTAGAACTAACACTAGACCTAGAACTAGAAATTATATAGTTCTTATAGTTTTTATATATAACTATATATATAATATACAATCTGTCCCAGGATAGAAGTTACAAGAGATATAATGACTTAAACATTTTTGAATTTTATTTTAAGGCTGAGGAATTAAGCCCTGTTTGGTGTGGAGAGAATTTTAAGTATATTTTCATATTTTGAAAATCAACTCGGTCTTGATAGGGAAGCAAAAACTATTTTTAGTTCAGGTAAAGTAAGCTTTTTGTTCATGATACGGCAAAATATCATTAAGAAAAGTTGTTCAGAGTGAGAAATTATGGCACTATGCAAAATTTCAGAAAGATCTAGATATCTAGATCATTGCTTAAACCACCATATTTTAGATTAGATCAGAGTGAAGAAAAAAAAAACAATGAAAACTGCCATGAAAAAAAAAATGACTTGAGTAGTCGGAAATATTGACAAATAAATTGTATTATCCCTCAGTTTTAGTTCACATTTCACTTACTAATAATATTTATGTTATTTAAACTAAAATGTAATGGTTCAACCAAAGTAGATAGATCCTTCTGAAATTTTGTATAGGACCATAATTTATCATTTTGAACAACTTTTCTTAATAAAATTTTTCCGTATCATCGATTTACTATCAAAACCGCCTTTGTTTTCAAAATAGGAAAATAATCTTAAAATTCTCTTCACTCTAAGCAAGGCTTAATTCCTTACCCTTCAAAAAAAATTCAAAAATTTTTAAGTCATTATACCTCTTGTAACATCTATCCTGGGACACACTGTATATAACTATATATATTTATATATAGTTTTTAACTTTTATTGTTCACAATAACATACATCATTATTGTTTGATATATTTCAATATGTATTCTTTTCATAATTTTTGTTTTAATGACGTCGTGGGTTTCTTTTTAACTATTTGACAGTAAGTTAATGATTGTAATATTTTTATTATGTTTCTCATTATATTTAATTGATCGTAATGTAATTATTTTTACGTAGATTCGGATGATGATGGGCTAAGCTCGAAACCGGTTCCGAATAAATTGATATTAAGCAAGTAAGAAGTTGTTTTTATATAGTTTAAATTTTAGAACTAGAAAGTTTCGAGACATTATACTTCATTGGATGAACAGTCAAAGAAGCATCAGGAAAC